TCAGTGTCAGGTCCAAGGTATCCTCGCCTCACCATCACATATGTAAGTGTGAACACTGTGTCGCAGTTAAAGGCTCAACGAGTGGGTGAGATTATATTTTGACGCCTACTAGGCTTTGTCAGTCGTTCCCAATTCCGTCATCAGTAACGTCTCCACTAGCGGCAAGCGAGGCGTCGTTAAAAGTTATGTAATACGACCCCCCTTCTCCAGAGCCCGACATCCATGGAACTCCTCTTCACAAGCCGAACTATGAAAATGGTGTCTAATCCTTCCCCAAAACTGCTCATAAAAAAGATTATAGAAATCATAAGAAGAAATAATAAGAAAGAAAGAAATAATAAATCTGGATGATTAATCCGAGGGGAAAATCAGGAACGAGGCGAGTTATAGATTATTCTAAGCCATAACTTGTCTCTCACTCTATTTAATAGGAAATTCAAGTGAAAAATTCATCATGGCCAGACAAAACTAAAAGAGTTCCAATCAATGGCTACTGAAACAGCTTAATACGTCCATTACTTGAAAAATGACCAAGTTGAGGATTTTTGTAAAATCGAGGGAAATACGTGAATAGTGCGAGTTTTTACAATTTCCAAAGCCATAACTTGCTTCATTTTCATAAAATCTGAAAAATTAATATGGCAGTGAAACTAGAAGATTTGCTCTATTCAACGCTTGCTAGAATTGCTCAGTAAATTCAGTATTTGTAAATGGCCAGCATTTTTGCCCGTTTAGTACCGGGAGGTACATTTTTACTGCATTGGCACTATTTCAAATAGTACAGCCACTTTCACAGGCGATTTTGTGCAACTGTGGGGCAGGTTTGGAATCCGTTTGCTCTTTCCTTTCCAGTATGTGTAAAGGTGTTTGGCGTAGCTTGACTTTAACACTTATATCTTCATGAATTTGACGCCGAGGGCTGCATTTTTTGTTGAATAGTGCACTCCTCTGGGACACGCCGTGTACTTCACATCGCTGCAGATATTCTCACTTGAAAGATGAAATATCTCTTGGAAAACGTGCGAATTCGGATTCTTTAACTTGTGTGGTGATAAAACACTGAAGTAACTAAGAATTACTAAGCGGACACCTCTGAATCACGAAAATTTTGTGTGGGCGGAATCACATTGTTATTGGAAATCTCTGCCTGGCATCGATTCGATCCTTGATGTTTGTCCTCCGACAGTGATGATCCTACTGCATCAATCCGGCCCGATCTCTTCCTCCCAGCGGGCCAATACGACCCCCCCCTGTGACGTGTCGAGGATTCCTCAACGCACGCTTGTCCCCACTCAGATCATGGTAATGGCAGAGTCATTCATTGATCGAATTGTGAGGTGAGAGAAACAGGATTGTTTTTTGGGAGGTTTTCGGGGATACCGTCCCCTTACCTCTCTTGCTTGATGGCAGGCTGCTTGCTTCTGATTAGAAATTTCGAGGAGTGAGTAAGTGGGGTCATTGCCATCCAGCAGGGTCATGAGATCAATGACACTATCGTCGCCATCAAAAATCGGTCGATGATGAAGGGATGGACGATCAGGACCTTCCTTACCCCCGCTTGGCTACGCCCTCGACTGTTATTGCCCCAGATCAAAAGACTAGGTACGAAAGCCATAAGTGTGCGTGAAACCGTGGAGGAATGATGACCTGCCTACGATCTTCAGCTGTTAGGGCTATATGCGTCCCCACTCCTCTCGCATAAAACGTATTACGTCGTGTTACTTAATAACATTCCTCTGTCAAAACTGAGAGTGAAACGAAACCTGACATTCATATCCCGAAGCCACTCTTCAGCCCTTTTGACTGCACGTATCTTCTTCTGACCCTCCTTGTCAACGTGCCTGTCTTCTCCACCATTGTCTCTTGAATTTCTTGTCGTTTCTCAAGGAAAAGTCCCTGTGAGTCCCTATGGCCATTCGGAATGATGTGCACCCACGTATGCGTCTTGAAACGCTGATCTCGAATCTGTCTTCCAAATCTGCTAAACGATTCGGAGAGAGAAGTTAGGGGGTGGTTTCACCATTGAGGTCCAGTTCTTAATGCTATTCGACAACCAAGGGGTCGTGGATCGGTGGCGCAGCCGGTAAGCTGTCGGACTTGGAGGAGCACCAACGTTAGGTTCCTTGATGCATGTAACGCTTTTGCACTTGTCTCAAAACTTTTTTTGAACGTTTGTAAAACAATTTCGCGTGCTACTCCAAGTATATTAACCTCTAGCAATCCTTTTTTTCAGAAAAATACGTTTTTTTTCTTTTTGAAAAGAAAGGATTGAAAAAAACGTTTCCTTTCCAAAAAAACGTTTTCTTTCCAAAAACGCAGCTATAGGACAAGAGGGCTGCCAACCCGAATGGACTGCTGCAAAAGAAAATCGGCAAAAACTTTGAAAATAGAATGATCTGGACCCGAGATGGGCGTGCGAAGGACCCCCGACTTTGCACAACAAGCCCACACCTCGGTGTAAGGCAGGGGCGGAAAAAGGACTACGGACGCATCAAAATGCACATCGCTTCCCACAACGTCAGGACATTATCGACAGACTCTCTCCTGGATGTATATCTACAACAACTGGAAAAGATCAAAGCCGACATTATCGGTGTATGCGAAACTAGGAGAGCACGCGCTGTCTCAGCGAGGTGGACAAGCGGTGAAGAAATTCTGCTGGGAGAAGGAGCCAACAATGTGCCCAGAACAGGTGGAGTCGGTTTCATCATAAAAGCGAAAATGGTCCCGTACATTATTTCTTGTGATATCATATCCCCACGTGTCGCTGTTCTGAAGGTCAAACTACACAAAAGTTGGGAAATCGAACGCTCAAAATGGTGCAAGTATATGCGCCCACTATCACGGCGGAGGACGACGAAATCGAACGTTTCTACGAAGAAATAGAGACGGCATTGAAGCTTAAATCGACATACACTATTGTTCAAGGCGATTTCAACGCAGTTGTCGGCTCCCGATTGGACGATACGGAATACCTCATAGGAAGGTACGGTGCGGGAGTAAGAAACGACAGAGGAAACCGTTTGATCGAATTTGCAGAACAACATCAATTCTCAATAATGAACACTTTCTTCGAGAAGAGAAGCGTCTCTGGACATGGAGAAGCTCAGACACGAGAACTCTGAGGCAAATTGATTATGTGCTGACCGATACGCCAAGATTGTTTGCTGACGTCTCTGTTATAGGGGAAAATGTGATAACGACTGGCTCCGATCATCGGCTTTTGCGTTCGGTGATCCTCTTCGATGCCAAGAAAGAACGTCGAGTTCTGCATTCGCAAAGAACACTCGTACGACAAACTTTCAATGCCGATATGTATGCTGCGATGATAGAGTCGTCAGATCTACACATGAATACCGGAAGCAATATCGATGCCGACTATGAAGATCTAGTGGGAAAAATAACTCAGGCCGTGAAAGCATCGAGCATAGCAATAGAGCCCGCAAGGCGACGACGTATATCGACAGAAACACTGCAGATGATGAAGAGGAGAGCACGCATGAAGGCTGAAGGACGAGTGCAAAATGAGGAATACCGGACACTCTGTGAAGCGATAAGGGAAAGAATCAAGTGCGATTATGAAGGCTACAGACAAATGAAACTTCGCGAAGCAGCTGAGAAAAGGGCTAGCCTGAAAGCTGTAGAAAGGGATATCCGTCTAAGGCAACATATACATTATGCCTGCATCGTCCTTGAGAGCATAGGGTAAATGTTGCCTTAGACGAATATCCCTTTCTACAGCTTTCAGGCTAGCCCTTTTCTCAGTTGCTTCGCGAAGTTTCATTTGTCTGTAGCCTTCACAGAGTGCTAGAACAACCAACCGCCCACAAATGAACGAGATATGTACAAAGTTCTACAACGATTTGTACTCCTCAAAGGTGGTTGTTGCAAGAACCTACCGAAACGTTGCAGAAGAACCGATCCCAGAAGTAATGTGGGAAGAAGTGGAGAACGCAGTGAAACAAATAAAGGCTGGGAAAAGCCCTGGCTGCGACAACATTCGTCCCGAACACCTAAAAGCAGGCGGACTACATCTATTTAAAGCGCTGGCAGAACGTTTCAGCAGATACTGCCATGAAAAAAGGATACCTGCAGCGTGGAAAAAATCAAGGACGATACTACTGATGAAAAAAGGCGATCCTGAGAGCTTAACTAACTACAGACCCATCACGTTGCTTTCTCAAATCTATAAGACCTTCACAAGGATAATCCTAAATCGCGTAGTCAAAGACCTGGATATAGTCATGAGCCGGGAACAAGCCGGTTTTCGAAGCGGTTACTCCACACTCGATCATCTGCACGTTGTACGTCAGCTCATCGAAAAATGTGAAGAGTACCAGATCCCCCTATGCATGGCATTTGTAGATTACAAGAAAGCTTTTGATTCGGTTGAAACAAACGCGATATTGAATGCTATGAGCAGATATGGTATTAGTTCGTCCTATGTCGACCTCTTGGAAGAGCTGAACAACGGTTGCTCTACAGAAATAAAGCTCTTCAACGATCCATGCCAAATAAAAATCTGCAAGGGCGTTCGACAAGGTGATACGATCTCGCCGAAATTGTTTGCACTAACTCTGGAAGCCTTGTTTAGTGATCTTGATTGGACGGATGGCATAGAGATCGATGGAGAACGGCTGACTCATCTGCTGTTTGCCGATGATTGCGTTATTTTTGCACATAATGCTTTTGAGCTCCAACAGAAACTTGGTGCTGGCGCAGAACAAATCAACAACTGAAGTTAGTTCAGTTCAGTAATACAGAGGCGATCAATGTAGACGGTGAAACGATTGAAGAAGTGGAAAGCTACAAATACCTAGGACACCAGCTCAGCTTCACAGAAGGCACTAGAGAGGAATACAGTAAACGCAGGAAAGCAGCATGGTCCAGCTTCAACAAAATCTCAAGGGTATTGCTGGACGATAACCTCCCGATGAAACTGAAGGCATCTTTGTTTCACTCAACGGTGATACCTGCGTTGCTGTACGGCGCGGAATGCTGGTCGCCCACTAAAGCAGACGAAGAGAAATTTGCTGTGATGCAAAGGTCAATGGAACGCAGAATTTGCAAAGTGTCACTTCGTGAACATATCACAAACACAGAGTTGCGAAGAAGAAGTGGCCTTGTTGATGTTGTCCAGGAAATGTATAATCGTAAACGAGATTGGGCCGGTCACGTAGCACGTCTTAAAGATGACAGATGGACTTTCAGGCTTATGAATTGGATCCCGTTGGACCACAAGCGATCGCCAAGAAGGCCCAAAACGAGATGGGCCGATCCGATGGTGAAAATGCTTGGCCAACAATGGAGAAGACATGCTCAGGACCGGAATGAATGGTTCAAAGTCGACTTGCGCAATTGGAGAAGCTTGCGAGGACGAGTCGGATACAGTGTGATACAGGTATAATCCTTCTTTGCCCTTCGCTTTTGAGAAACTTTGTGATTCAGTACAAATTTTGATGATTTTGTTTTCACTACCGATCAGGAAGCTTTGATTGATGCATATATTACTGAGTAGGAGAAAACTAGTAGTGCTAGGGGCCTCAAATTCACACGGATGTGCATCAAGGTACGCCGCCGCATGTCACGAGTAGGAAAAAATTTCAAATCTCGGTGTTTTGAATAAGATCGTGCATGGCGTCACGGAAAACAGAGATGGAACTCTCTATTATCTTCCTCTTTTTTTCTGAATGCTGGCCTGTGTACCATCACAAGAGCCGAGTTGCTTTATCGAGCGAGACGACGAGCTTTGGGGAGAACATCTCGGTGGCATCCGAATCCGAATTTCTATCGGAATGATCGATTGAACAATGATTGAGAAGCAATCGGATCGGTTCGTTTCACAATTCGTAGGCCGTCAGAGGGGTTTCCATCTAGCGATCCGCCAAAGATTGAATTCCTTCATATTGAATTTCAAGCGTTTGAGAGGTTACGTGCGGCTCCGTAGGTAATCGAGCAAGAAAGGAGTTTCTATTTAGAAATCACCTCATGTAGGCAAGAGAAGGGTTGGAATAGTCAAAGTTGGCTACGAAACTGTTTTGCAAACGTTTAAAAAATATTTTAAGACAAATGCAAAAGCAACACATGCATCAAGGATCCGAACCTTGGTGCTGCTCCTGCAAGTCCGACAGCTTACCGGCTGCGCCACCGCGCAACGAACACGTGAACATTAAGAACTGGACCTCAATGGTGAAACCACCCTCCCACCATCTCTCTCCGAATCGTTTAGCAGATTTGGAAGCCAGATTCGAGATCAGCGTTCCAAGACGCATAGCGAGACAAGAGTGAGTATGAATCTCATCTCGAACGGCCATGGCGACCCGGGGGACTTTCCTTGTAAGTCCAAGCCCTGTGATTGCTGCTAAATGCCGGCTAAACAGGCGCACAAGTAGGAGCACAAAGTTAGTCCTGACCAATTCAGCGAATCTCAAGAATCCTTCACTACCAGAAGGAATATTTGCTTACCGCTGTGCCATTTTCTCCTTCATCGAATAAGTACTCGCAATTCTTTCCATGAGAGATTATTCCAAGCAAGTACTGCTTGCCATTATAAGTAGTTGTTATTCCCGCACCACTATCACCCTAACACACACAGAATCACGTGTGGTAACTACTGCTCCCCTAAAGTGACTATGGAAAATGTTCACTGCTTTTGTGGCATCACGATCAAAAACCTTGCATCTATCGATAAAGCCCTCCACTATTACAGAAGAGATCTAACATCCGCATGTGCAGATAATCGCGCAGATCATCCTATAATTCTTGAGAAAAAAAACTATTTCTTTTATGGGACAACAGCGCTTGCATTTCGCATTTGCATTCGCCAGTAATTCACTTTTGAATAGGATACCTTTACAGTCCGTCTAGACCTGACATCGGTCGGCAGCGACTCTCGAATGGTACCTCTACTCGGCGAGAGATAGTGATACATGATGGTAATGAAGGCATATCAATTCGCTAGGCATATCTCCACCACATTTGAAGAGCTTACTGCTGCTGTCGAGTGCGCTGTCAATTGCGAGACGCTGACGAAAAACGAATGCGAACCAAAATGCTAATGATTCTGGATCGTTTTACGAGGGGTTGCCGTTGGAAATGGTAAACAGAGAGGAAAGCGGAGGGAGATACATGAGAAGGCCGCCCAACCTTGGGAATGGGACCTCTTTTCTTACCCGTTCATTTCCGCACTGATGCGATTTTTATCCTTGTGCCTTCTCCAGCGCTAACGCTCTCTCTAATCACTCGCCGCGTATAGACCTGCGGCGAGTGATTAGATAGTCGGTGGGCGTTCCGGGCCAATTGCGCCAAAGGGAAGGCCATGCTAGATCGCCGGGGCATATCCTTCGATGCGAATTGCGTGTTGGTCGCACCTTAGGGGGTCCACCTGCCTTCCACTAGGTGGGTTTCCTCTTCTTCGACCTTCATTCCTATCGTGGAATCCTCCCTTAAAGTGATGTTAGGATAACGATAATACCCTCTACTACCTATTCATAAATTAGTCCATACTGCGAGATAACGATCCCGCAAGTGGAGGTCAGCATAGGGTAGGACGTGAAGTGACCACTTTCACTCTCACTCTCAGGAGTTCCGGCGGGTATCGTGGGGCAAAACCGGGAATAGGATATTTCTCACCCACCCATTCTTTTTCAAAACAGTGAAATGGGAGACATGCTAGAGGTAAGAAATAAGCCAAGGTAGAGTAGGTACAAGGTGAGTAAGGAGAAACAAGGGTCCTGATTGAGGCGTTTAACTCATCACAGTAGCCAACACTCTTCATATCTGTCTTTCTTTGTATTTTCTTAATAAGTGTTGTCGTTACTCCTGTGCGAGGTTTTTATTGGTGATTTATTGTGCTTGACATAACGGCATTTTGTCATCTTCTAAGTCCTAGAAGCATTTTGGAACGTCTTGCAGTGTTACTGTCCTGCGCACGCAGATCAACGGTAAACTCAGGTCAATCACCAGTGCTAGACTGCTCAGTTTCGGGAACAATGGAGTAAGACCTAGTTGTGCACCGTTTGTAAATTATGTACAGTCGATATCCGAAAGTTGGGGTGGGTGTGTCACCGGAAGTGACGTGCACTTGATAGAAGTGCGTGGATAAGCTGTTGCCAGCATGCTTTGCTGATAGCCAGCGATGTATGTTGGAAGCAGCTTATCCACATAGTTTCTATCAAGTGCACGTCACTTCCGGTGACACGCCCACTCACCGATATCAAGTATATGTGAAGTACGTTATGTTTTCATAATCGAGGCTCACAAAGCGGAATGTAAGGCAAGAAATCAGCAGTTATGAGGATTCACTTATTCCTGTTACTCATGCTCTGGGTACGGTGCTTTATAGAGTAACTTACAAGGGTTTTTCTAATGCCGATATCGCTCTCATAAGCCAGTATCGTACCTCAATGAGGGTCCAAGTGCAACCAGCATAACTTCCCTCTCGTTTACTAAGCGGTGCACAACCGAATTTCTCCTTCGTTCACTAGCCAAATATTCTTTTATACTTACACCTAATTGTCCTCCCAGTTTCTTCAGTGTACAAGGCATCACATTTTGGACACTTGCACTGGTACACCTAGATCCTTGCGTCCTGAGTTCCGAGTTTTCTTCAATTCCATACGGTTAGATCACGTAGTATACATGATGCAACTTCAGTCCCAGAGACGAATCCTGACCAACTGGTTTTTAATGTTGTGTTTGCCGAAATGACATCATTGGCAAGGCAGGCTCATCCCAGGCATCTTCTCAAAGGAATCCCTCACGGAAAAATCATGATTCTATTTCAGCCATAAATCACTGGCTTGAGACTCATTATCCACGATAAGAATGAAAAGAACAGAAATATTGCTTTTGTTTTGGTAAAAATTCGAAAAATCGAAAGGGCTGCGTTCGAAGTGCCCACGGACGTCTTTCACAAATGCTGGCGACGGGGATGCTTCCACTTGGTTCTTGGAGTGCCTTCACTAGAAACTCTTTCTGGCCTTCTGCTTTATTGCATTCACATCTTACACTTCTACTCCATCCTATTCTATCGATCGATTTGTCTCTACTCTCC